GAACAAGGAGAGCTATGGAGTGGAGGTCCCCTACCAGCTAAGGTGGCACGGATTCACCATGTTGGACCTCAGCCACCAAGGACCGCAGACTGGGTGTACAGGAAGGCAACTTCATGGAGCTCCCAACAGGAGGCCGAGCACCTGCTGGACCTGCCCTGCTGCACCACAGCTAGGCAGCTGGCCCTGCCCACCTGGACAAGGTGGTGAGAAGTATCGTGCCCACAGATGAGCAAGCAACAAAGCACACCTATCCTGCCTGCCCAGACACAAACAAATAAGAAAGCAGGACGAAACAAATCTATAATCAGTAAACGAAGAGAATAATTCCTGAATGTCCTGGAGACAGCAGACAATATCAAAACATATTAAAAAAAACAAGACAGGATGACTCCAGTAAGTGACCAAAATAAAATACCAGATGACCTTCCGATAGGAGAAAAGACACTGCAACTACCCGGTAGGGAATTCAAAACTCTAGTAATCACGGCTCTCCAAGAGATTAGGGGAGACCAGCACTTACAGGGAAAACCTAATTTGAACAAAAGCTTCCATTGTTTTTTCCATTATTTAACTGTGGGAATCAAGAGTCTTAATATTTAGGTGGTGGTGGTGTTAGGTGCCATGGAGTCGGTTCTGACTCACATTGACCCTTCGTACAACAGGATGAAACACGGCCTGGTCCTGCACCATCCTCACAGTCCTTGCTATGTTTGAGTCCATTGATGAAGCCACTGTGTCAGTCCATCTTGTTGAAGATCTTCCTCTTTTCGCTGATCCTATGCTTTACCAAACATGATGTGCTTCTCCAGGAACTGGTCCCTCCTGATAACGTGTCCAAAGTACGTGAGACAAAATCTCGTCATCCTCGCTTCTAAGGAGCATTCTGGCTGTACTTCTTCCAAGACAGAGTTGTTCATTTTTCTGACAGTCCATGATATATTCAGTGTTCTTGAGTAGCTCCTAACTCAAAGACATCAATTCTTCTTCAGTCTTCCTTATTCATTGTCCAGCTTTTGCATGTGTATGAGGCAATTAAAAATACCACGTGTTGGGTCAGTCACACCTTAGCCTTCAGTGTGATATCTTTGCTTTTTAGCACTTTAAAGAGGTCTTTTGCAGCAAAATCTTTAGGTAGTATATGTAAAAGTGGAGTGATGTTGGTTGCATTATCTGTGCTTGAAGAGAGTAGAGTTTAAGCACTGTCAGATTTTCAGCGCCTTGTCCTTTATTTGGGTGATGTGATTTTGAGATGCCCATCACATAGTTAAGCATCTCAGTTTAGCTTTAAGATCTTGTTAACGGCTTCTGGTGCCCGTACGAACACATCAGCAAACCATCTTTCACCAGAGAGCCAAAGGAAACCTCCAGAAGCAAGGTAGCGAGAATCAATACAGAAAGAAGATTTTTAGGGACTTTTGATGGATTGCCATATTTTGAGCTTCACTTCAAGTGCCAGATGCCTCAGAGCTGACTAAGATGAAGTCCCCAGCCAACGAGGACCGCAGGCCATCAGGCTTAGAGAGGGCTCGGAGATTGCCAGGATGAGATGGACAGACCTTTCAGTTGTCGTTTTGGGGACGATTCTGTTTTAAATCAGCCTAACGCGGTATTTCGATGACGGTGCTGTATCACTGTCTTTGCTGGAGCAAAATGTTACCCAGTGGATACTTGGAAGTCCTGGGAACGCATAATTGTGTGATTTTAGGACAGCATCGTACAGCCGTGAGTCAGTGACTTCTCCATGTCGGGAGCAATCTGGTATGCCAGGGCCCTGCTGGCTCCATGTCCTTCTCCAAAGACAGCCCCGCAGAAGGTGGAAGCCACGTTAAGCCGTGCTTCTGTCAGCAGGCTGAACGCGGGGGTCTCTGACACAGCTCTCAATCGCTAGCAGGTTTCTCTCATTGCACCTCATTTGCATCTGGGACATCAATTAGCATGTTTGTTGAGGCTAATTGAATGAAACTCAATCATAGCTCTTAATTGCTTGACTATGTGAAAAGAAATCACATTAATGCAACTAATTAAGTGTGCGGCAATAGATGCAACATAATTAGGAGTGAAATGTAAAAAACAAGGGACGACAAAGTTTCCAGCACCGGGTGGCAGGGGGACAGCCAGGCAGTTATCAAGCTATTGGTGTGCTCACCAACGGGTCCCTCTGCTCGGGCGCGGGCTTGGAAAAAATAATCCACGTGATGAGCACGGACAACTCGAGAAGAAAAATGCAAATAGGTTTGCAATTACTACTTTTTCAAGCTGTTGAGGGGCAGGAGACGGCACCTCTGGGGGGGCCCGGTTCTTGAGTGGGCCCCGGGGACTTGTTAAGTGCTGTTTAAAAGTACTTGGCTTTGAATTACCCTCATGCCTTGTTAAAGGGTTTTTTCCCCTTTTATCTTAGATCAGCATTTTCCACAACCAACAAGGAGAAGGCTGGTCTCGGTAACATTTGCATATCAAAATCTAGCTCACAGTCTTTATTTTACACAGCCGGGTCCCTGGGACAGACGCACCAAGCTGCTTGTCCCACTTTTGAGGCAGTGACATTGTTTGGTGGTTGTAGCTTTAATTCCTTAAGTACCAAGCTGGGGCAAGATGAAAGGATGAGGTCTTTAAAAAAAAAGGCTCGGGTTATTTTCTCTTGGGAGAAAAATAGAAGCCCCAGAGCCAATACACCTTAGCGTTCCACTGTTCATGAAGCACCAGGTTGCAAGACTTGTATTGATTATCAAATGCACTTTGTAAAGTTTTTCACAAAAAAAAGTTTTTAGTGGCTTGAAATATAAGAGTTGCTAAGCTCATATTCTGATTTATAGAACTAGTTCTTCTGAAGTTTCAGCATCTAACTTTAGCAAAAAAAACAGATCTTCTGGCCCATGCTGAGCCAAAGATAAATGGGTTGGCTTGCCGCAGTCAGACCCAAAGAGCAGGCGATCGGTACATTTCTCTCATCATTGTAAATAAAATATCATGGTTATTGTATGTTACAACGTGCCTATTAACAGAGCCCACGTTGAAGCTTAGTCACTATCTGATTAGTCTCATTTTAGAACCCATAAGCAATAAATGCTCAATTACACTCCTGTTATTGTATTTTAATTTGTTAAGAATTGGCATTAAAGAAGAAAGTTACAGCAAGTTGATATTTTCAGAGGAGTGACTCTGCAAGCAGGGATTCATACTTTACAAGCATTAACCTGGATTTTGGAACCAGGTTTGCATATTTTTGGTGGGGATTGATGGAAGTCAATTAAAGATGCTTAAAAACAGCTGTTAAAAACCACAAAACCTGACCGGTAGCCCTGCCCTAAGCCAAGATCACTGTTTTCTTTGTGGCGCTTTTTATCTGTGGTCCTCAGCACATTTAGAGCGGTTCTGTGTGGAGAGCTCTTATATTCTAGTCCCTGCTCTGTCCTATAGGGTCGCTGTGAGTCGGAATCGACTAGATGGCAGCAGTTTATGTTTATTTTTTAAATCTTTACAGGAGCAGAGCTCCAGGTCTTTTCTCCCGTGGAGCTGATGGTGGGTTCGAACCACCAACCTTTCAGTTAGCAGCCGAGCGCTTAACCATTGTACCACACGGCCCCTTTCTGTATCTCTTCTCCTCTTCTATAAGGACACCAGTCAGGTTGGGTTAGGACCCCCCCCTTCAGTATGACCTCATGCTGACTTGACTAATAATGTCTTCAAAGACACTGTTTCCCAACAAGTTCACATTGACAGGTACCAGGGTTAGGACTTCAGTGTGTTTTTGCAGGACACAGATCAATGCATAACGTCATCTTTAGGACTCATAACTTCCGTAAAGATGGCAGCCTTGGAAACCCTTTGGGGTAGTTCTGCTCTGTCCTGTAGGATTGCTGTGAGTTGGAATTTGACTCAACAGCAACGGGTTGAGTTTGGTTTTTGGAACCTAATTTGCCAACAGTCCTCTCACCCTGGTTCTCCATTGCCTTATCACCTTCCATCCTCCTCACCCACCAACCAATTCTTAGCTGTTGTTTTACTTCATGAGGACGTTGCTACATTACCTGTACAAGAGCTTCACCCTCTACCGGGCTTCCCTGTAGCTCCCTGATAACTGTTAGTCACTCACCTAGGGGACATAGAGGATGAGATAGTTTCTTCTGAGTCCACTTGGAGGAATGTAACACTTAAGTATCCAATAATGTGATTTCTTCTTTAACGTTCGGCTGTTAGGTATCCGTCTGTGAGTGCCATATTTTTTCAATGCCATACCACCACCATTCAGATACCATCCTGGTTTTTAATTAAATGCCTGACCCTTTGCTTACGGTTTTCACCTAAATTCTACCAGGTAGCTTCAGTCTTACCTAAATATCTCATGGCATTCCCATCTGAGAACCAATTGCCGTTGAGTTGACTCTGACTCATGACGACCCCATGTGTGTCAGAGCAGAACTGTGCTCCATAGGGTTCTCAGTAGCTGATTTTTCAGAAGTAGATTGCCAGGCCTTTCTTCTGAGGTGCCTTTGGGTGAAGTCAAACTGCCAGCCTTTGGGTTAGCAGCTGAGTGTATAACCATTTGCACCACCCTGACCCTCCTCCCATCTGAGACAGAAAGGTGATTACAAAATAGTTTCCTTCTCCATGGAATTTTACCTAAAATTTACAGTATGGTCCCCACTTCTAATGCCATTTAATAAGCAATAACTCAAAAATACATATAGTCTTACGTGCATGCTTGCTTTCTCCAGCTGACTCCGAATCCCCTGTGAGGGAAGCATCTCGTACGTCCCCGCGTATTTCCAGTGCCTGGGTTAGTTCAGGACGTAGAGGCCAAGCTCTGATAGAGGTTGCGTGGTGACAGTGATGAAGACACCAGTACTGCTACTCAGATTAAAAACTTCGTATCTTAACAAGCACGTTCCCTGTGGGAAGGGTCAGAGGGTGACACCCCACAGTATCTAGTAGAACCTGTTGTCCTTGGTTCTCAAAGTTCTTCTTACTCACCTGTCTTGGGTGTTTGACATTTTGTGCAGGATTACATGCAGAATGTGCACGGGAAAGAGATTGACCTCCTGAGAACCACTGTGAAGGTCCCAGGGAAGAGGCCCCCCCGAGCCACGTCCGCCTGCGCGCCCATCTCCAGTCCTAAAACCAACGGCCTGGCCAAGGACATGAGCAGTTTACACATCTCACCTAATTCAGGTAAGCATACAGCTAGTACACCAAAGGGACCAGGCGTCCGGGCAGCGTGCGTGGTGCTGGCTTGAGGACAGTGTTGACCCGATCCCTTGTCAGTTAAGGCGAAGACACCTCATCCCTTCTGTGACTTGTCATGGTGTCTACGCCATCAGGTCACCTGACAGCCAACAAGCCAGTGATGGTCTTGGAGCCACAGCTGCACACACCAGACACCTAAGTGTTCCCGGGGTTGGTTAATTGAAAGTAGAGTTTTACACACCAACCAGGTATATAGACATGCCTGCTACAAAACATGAATTAATTGGTAAAGTATCAAGGACTCCTGTTAACTAATTTCTAGTAACTGTGTAGGTCCTTGAGTGGCACAAACCCTTTGCACTTGACAGCTAACAAAAAGGTTGGCAGTTCGAATCCACCCAGCGGTACAGCAGAAGAAAGGCCTGACGATCTGCTTCCATAAAGATTACAGCTTTGAAAACCCTGTAGAGCAGTTCTGCTCTATAACACGTGGGGTCGCTATGAGTCAAAACTGACTCAGCAGCAACCTGTTTGGAATAACTATATATTTGACTGTGGAAAAACCATTTGGAGCAAGATTTAAAGAAAGCCATTTGACCTATATAAAATTTTAAATTTGCTTGCTTTTATACCTTTACTATTATCTGTTATTCTTTAATGCAACTTTAGTCCTATTTTCTTTCAAAGGAGATTTTTTTTTTCTTTTAATTCAGGATTAGAGAAAATGTTTTCTCAAAATTAATGTGTTTAGAAGGCCCTTGTGCACAGTTGTAAACCAAAGTGTCATTGTCGATTTTGGTTTACGAGTCTTTGCAAATGGTCGCAGGCTGAAGGCGATCTTCCTGTGACTGTAGCAGGGAGACGGTGTTCAGAACCCCTTGAATCCTCCCACTAACACACACGAGCTCCTTCACCATGTGGAATCCCTTCCAGACTTAGTTGTTTCTCTAGCAAAAAGTCCCTTCCTTCTCTCTGACCTACATCCAGTCTTGTCAGAATAGGTTTCTGTTCTGCTGCAGTTTCTAGCTTGTCTCTGCTTCTTAAAGGTGCTGCATTTTTTTCCCTCCTGAAATGTTATGTGCATTTAAAGAGGGGTTATGCTGACGTCTGAGTCTTGTGGCATAAAAGGCATTGGTTGTTGAAAGCAGGTGATGAAAAGGTAGCCAGAGCCTGGGGTTCGCCGCGCGGGCTCTGCCGCATGGCACTGGGGGCGGGTCACCAAGTCGGCTTCTTGGCCACCACGTTAGGCTGATGTTACCTGGCCTGCTGCCTCACAGGTGCGCTGCCAGGTAAGATGGCATATGTGACAACGCTGGGGCAACTGGCAAAGTAGAATGCAAGAGTAAGCAGTTGTTTCTAATTGAAATAAAAGTCGACTTTCTGCTAAAGGAGACATCAGTGCATTCCAAAAAGGCCAGGAGGTTATTTGGCCTGGTCTCTTATGACCTGCTGACCTTTCTGCTAAGACTTACATGGCATTTCCCTTGTTAGGATGGTATGCCAGTAACTCTGTGGGATGGGAGAAGAGAAAAGAGGTGCCCAAAAATGAAAAAAAAATTGTGAATAAAAAGCTACTGCCGGAAGGTTGGCAGTTCAGAACCACCAGCGAGCAGCTCCACAGGAGAAAGATGTGGCAGTCTGCCTCCATAGAGGTTTACAGCCTTGGAAACCTTACAGGGTCGCTATGAGTCAGAATTGACTCAATGGCAGTGGTTTTGGTTTTTGGTTTGGTTTGGTCTTCACTGCTTTGTATTTAATCGTTTATGGAACATCTCCTCTGTGCTAGGAATCGAGCATGCTGTGGATATGGAGTCCCTGACCCCCAGAACCTGTAGTCTAGACCAGTCAGTCACAATGGAGCTCATCCCCCCCCCACCCCGCCCCCGTTTTGACCCTTCACGTCAAGTCTATTTACTTACTCAAGTCAACAAGCGTTTATTGAGTTTCTGATGTGTGCCGGGCACTGTCCCGGGCCCTGGGGCCAGAGATGAGTAAGACATACTCCCTCCCTCAAGACTCTCTCCCTCTGGTAGGGAAGAAGCAGGAGTACAAGGAAACGTAGCAGGTGTACCAGGAAACGTAGCAGGCCACAGTTGTCGTGGTTCGTTGCCATCCAGTAGACTCTGACTCATGGTGGCTTTATGTACAACAGAACGAAACATTGCCCGGTCCTGCACCATCCTCACAGTTGTTGGTGTGTCTGAGCCCACTGTTTCAGCTATTAGCAGTCTGAGGTAGCGTCACATGAAGGGTACCATCAATGGCATGGTCAGCTCTACCCCAGGAGGTGGGCAGGACCTCAGAGCATAGGGCATGCTGTGCTGGGTTTGAAGAATGGATAGGAATTTGCCAGGCTCCCGGAATGAGGAGGGGCACCAGTGGTTTGAAGAAGTGTTGGATATGGAAGATCTTGGAGCCCTGGTGGTGCAGCGGTTAAACGCTTGGCTGCTAACTGAAAAGTCGGCTCCATGGGAGAAGGCAGTCTGCTTCTGTAACCATTACAGCCTTGGAAACCCTATGGGGCAGTTCTCTGTCTTGTAGGATCGCTGTAGGGTCACTATGAGTCAGAATGAACTGGTCGGCACACAACAACAGTCTTGAGACTTATGTTCTTTGGGGCTGAGCTGCCATTTGTCGTGTTCAGGAAAATGTGATGTTTGATGATAAACAAGAGCAGGTACAAAACGCTGTGTAAACTGTATCATGTCCCATGGAGTAGGTTGTGTCAGGGGGTGGGTGTGTGTCCTCCGAAGCCATTTTTCAATGCAAAGTTTCCTTAAGACCCTTGCTCTTGGGCAAATGGGAGGGTTTGAGGCAGGACTCAAGTCACTTTTCCGTGATCACGTTCCTCCACTTACCTCAGCGCGTCGGCCAGTGCTTAGCCAGGTTACCCCCATAAAGGGCCACCCGTTCTCCCTGTTCTCTGGATCCCACGTAGGGACATGGGATGGGGTGTGGTACCAGCAGAGGCACTGTGCTGCTTTGGGGAAGGCAGTGCCTCATAGTACAAGACAAGCTCTGGGATTGGCACCCTTGTCTGGGCTGCAGGCAAGGCCACCAGCTGGTGTCCAGGAAAAGTGGAAGGACCTCCAGCAGCGAGTGGACCATTCACTGTTCATTGTCAGCTTCAGCCTCGGGTTCTTTGTCTAAGCCATGGAGGAGGCCACATCATTACAACATTGTGGAAATTTAATTTACATGGGCCCCATCTCAACCTGAGTATGAATCTGTAAAATGATGTGCTTGTTCTTGTTTAAGATATTAAAGCGTTGGGGGGATTTGATCTTTATAACCTCAGTCACTCTTTGAAAATAAAGCTTCCTGTGTTTAAAATGATTATTCACAGAATGCTCCTTCATAAAAGGAATTCCAACACATTGAATTTAATTTCAGTAAAGTGATGCTAACTCTAAGTGGTGGTCTTTTAGCTAAAAATGGTGGTGGTGGTTGCTTCCGGCCTTCTGACTCATGGCAACTCCGTGTGTGCAGAGTCAAACTGCTCCGTAGGGTTTTCAAGGCTGCAGCCTTTTGGAAACAGATCATCAGGCCTTTCTTCTGCGGCACCGCTGGCTGGGTTCGAACTGCAAACCTTTTGGTTAGTGGTTGAACACTTAGTGGTTTGTACCACCCAAAGGCTAAAAATAGGTGTTAGTTATTTTAGTTATTGTAGAGTTATTTGCCACAGAACTTAACCTAGTACTTAACTTTATTCTTGACTCTCTAGACTCATTTGAATTCTGCTGTTTTGTTTTGGAGCGCTGGGTAAACTGGAGGTGTTTGTTTCTTTCTATGCTTCCTTTTCTTTCTTATTCGTTTTCTTAGCTAATTGCTCAATGTGCGGTGTCTTTCCATGTAGTAAATTGTCTGGTAAATTCACGTAGGTTCAATATATGCAGGCACCTAAGTCTTTGTATGTAACACTTTTTATTCCCTTAGATGTTCATAAGTGGAATGGCTCAGTCAATGGAAATAACCCTTTGTAAGGTCCTTGATACATATTTGCAAATTAACTTCTAGAAAGTTTTATATACAAAGTACCCTTTCATATATAAAGTGAGCACCCATTTCACTCAGTGTACTTGCTCACACTGGTATTAAGTATTCTTTTTAGAATTTATGCTAATCTGGTGAGCAGTAAAAATATCACATGGCTTTGTTTATTTGGATTTTCTTCGATTAGTAATGAGGTTATCTTCTCATATGTCTGTTGGTCATATTTCTTATTTTATGAATTGCTTAGGTGTATCTTTTGTACATTTTTTGTACTAGATAATTGCCTCTTTCTTATTGATATGTAAGAACTCTTTGTACATTAAGGATGTTAACATTTATATTTTGTAGATATTTCACCCAGATATTACTTGATTTTTAAATTTTATGGTATTTATTTACATGAAGAGGTTTTACCCTTTTATATTTATAATCAAATCGTAACTCTTTTACTTGTATAGTTTCTGCTTTAGTTGTTTAGAAAGCCTTTAATAATCCTGAAATCAGATCATAACTCATGTGTGTTTCTGAGCTTTGCAGTATCACTACTTTTTTCTTTTTCTTCCTTTTTTTTCATATTTAGCCCTTTAATCTACTTAAATTTATTTTGGGCTGTTTTATGAGATAGGAAGAGTAATTAAATTTTTTATTCAAATAGAAAAGCAATTGTCCTTTCTTTCTTTGTTGAATTGTTTCCTTTCCCTGTAAATCTGTATGTCCCCTTTGTCATACAATGCCATCATTTAATAAAATGGAATACATTTCTGGGCTCCTGAATCTATTCCATTGACCTGCTATTACTACGTTGTCTTACCTCATGTAGACTGACCACGTTGTTTTAGATTTAATGATGCAGTTTACATCTGGTAGTATACCACAGGTTAATATTTTTATTCTCCAGTTTTTCTTGGATGTTTCCGCCAATTTATTTTTTCAAAGGAACTTCAGAATAACTTGAGACCTTTTTCCTTCCCCTTCAGAAAATAATCCCATTG